ACGGCCGGGGCGCGTAGTCTCGGCTCCTCAGTGAAAAACTGATGTGCGTTTGCACGCGCTCTGCTTTTATACCCGCGCGGCGGGGCGGGGTGCGCGTGGCGAAACACGCACGCCAACTGTCATTGGCTTGTTTAGTTTACACTCGAAGGTGATCGGGCTCTCGGGCGAGATCCCAATTCGTCAGTCACGACTGACGTAACGTCTCCGTTCCCTCCTTCAGGGAATGAGGGTTACACTAGTAACCGAGACATTTCACTTTCACAACGAAACACAGCGTCACACACGGAGGCCTAGAGTGAGCGGAGGCCGGCTTGAGTGAGCAGCGGCCAGTGGGCTTGTGGCAACCACATGTGGCGACCCCGGGCTGGACTCCGCTTCGTCCACGGTGAAAGCCGATCCGGCGATCCACAGCGCGAACCCGACATGGCGGCGGCGGCAACAACAATACTACACCGAGAATAAAAGTTACACCTTCTTTCTTTGCATGAACATTTGGGCGGCGTTATGCAAATCTTCCCACATCGTGACATAGACATGTGGGGGCGTGTTAGAACAAGCCATTTTAGGTAGGCGTGGTTGACTCTTAACTTTTAGTCTTTGCAACTTTACAGATCTTCTTTATGCACCAAGAGCTTGTAACACTCCAAAGAGAAAGGAAAAATTGAAATCGCATCATATGACCCCTTTAAATGTTAAAACACATAGTTGGACCTATAGCACATCTACACATAATGCTGATTTGTGTGCACTTTAAGAGAATGTGAATCTCTCTCCCTTCATTTTCCAGTCTGTGCTCTTATCATTTTTATCCACTAAAGGCAAACCCCACAGATAACACAAAAATATTCTCATTTAATTGCATGTACTATATTAGTTACTCTCTAAGTTACTGTATATATGGAGCCTATATTAGTTACTGTATACGACTATAAAATTATCATGAATAAATTACCAGGTTTCTTATTTTATAATTAGATTAATGCCATCTTCAAAACAACAAAACTGTAAATGTAATTTAAAGCTTAACGTTTTATAACATCAAATTTATATTAGAATGTGCACACAGACAAAGGGTTTGCAACATTTTGTTTAACACTTTCCATGCAATTTTTATTCACAGGATGTATTCACAAGTACACAGAGAAAGCTTAGGTCTAAAATGCAGTCTTCGAGTGTCTGCACAAGATAACTATAGGCGTTAAAAGTATATAAATATGCGTTGCTCTTAGAGATGCAGATGCAAACGTTGTTGCACGGATGCTTGGCCTGCGGTTTAGTGTGCGAAGAGAGTTTACAAGGGACGCTTCCGTAAACATACACAGTGATATCAGACGGGCGTATCGCCACCGCTGCGCATGCGCACAGGGCAGGAGAACTGACATCGCGGAGCAGTACTGCAATATCCATCGATTCGGGACCGAAGATTATCCTTCTGCATTCTCGCAAGACTGGTGCCACCTGTACATATTAATCCATAACAACTGTGTCATTAAAGCAATCATGTCCATGGGAAGTGACTTTGGGAACCCTTTACGGAAATTCAAACTTGTTTTTTTAGGGGAGCAAAGCGGTGAGTCTTTGGGTTTGCCACGACTGGGTTTAGACGAACCCATTAACCTTTCAACACATGCATGAAGTACATTAGTATGTTGTTGAGTCTTTTGTGTATCCGCTTGTTTGTGGTGTTATTTCAAACAATGTTATCGCTCCATCGATTCCCTGTCAAACAAGTCGGTTGCATACGTTTCATTTGTGATTAGTCATGAAAATGTATAGCTATGCAGCGTCATTAGACTACTAAACACCCATCTGTGAATATAACGTGATATAATCGTTATTTCAGCAACTGTTATGATTGTCACCTGCATTTTCCATTGGAAGCAGAAGGGCTGATACTGTTATTGATCGCTGTTATTCTTGCGCAGTCGAAATCGCTCAAAACAAATGATATATATTAAATAATTCAATCGAAAGATATGTATATCGCCGTGTTTGTATATATCTTCCTGTGAACATCCACTGATTTA